AAAATGGGAAGGAATGCTTACAAATCTATGTTCCAGCCTCTATTAGTACCCTTTAACATGGTAATACCTGGTGGGTTTGGCCAAAATACTTTAAATAGAAAAATGAAAAGATGAGAACTAAAGCCTTCTTTCCTTGTAGTGAGTCACAATAGGCCGATCTTAGTGAGATGTTCTACATCCATTATAACAATGCTGATTTTGAGTTTGTCATACTGAAATGATTAACTATTTTCCTACTGAACCCTTGTAAAACTCACAAAACATTAAGAGTCTGGGGACAAAAAAAAACATTACAGTGCAGGTTGGCATTAAGTCACTGTGGACTTAAGTTTCCCAATTATTTAATGGCTTGATAATTATACTGAGGCATGTACATAGTAAGGTACAGTCAGTGCTGGTTGCAGGCACCACTTACATGGGGAAATGAATGCAGAGATGAGTAATTGTGTCGGTAGCCTGAGGCTGCTTGCCCAGAGCTCATGTTGCTGGTGTCACTGGGAAAGGAGACAGAGCTACTGTCCCCTTCACCTTGGTAAATCTCCTCCTGTGTTTTGTAGCTGGCTGGACCAACCTGTGAGGTTGGAGTCTGGCAAGGACAGACAATTAAAAGGTATTTTAATTTTGCGAAGAAAACACTTATCAAAGTCATTTACTTAGGAAAGCAAAGTCAGTTGGTCAAAAAGGAAAAAAATTTGTCTTGTTTTGATCACTTCTTTTTTTATGCAGATCTAGTCTTAATCAGGAGTCACTCTGGGTTAAAGAATGCACCCGATCAGCAAGCTATCCGAATGATGTATTTTGTAGGAGGGAATTTCAAAGACAGTTAAAAAAGCAAGGAGTTCATCTAGGGAATGACCTTTTAAGTGTCCTCTCCCAGACCTACTGGGGTGCTGCCAAATGGAAGGACGTTCTCATTTTAAACTTTATCACCCATGTTCAGGAATTCATCAAAAGTCAAGAGGGGAAAATCTGAAGTAATGGTCTAAGCCGTCCTGTAGCAATGACAAGGTTTTTCACCATGCTGTATTTGCCTTTACAGCAGAGGTTCCAATATTTCTCTTGGGAAACACACTATTTCCTCTAGTTCTCAGGAACTTTCTTTGGATGCTTAACTGCATTAGCATACTGTTATTTTTATCCTCCCTGCTATTAGTCATTCTCTTACAGACAGAGCTAAAAACCTGTCTTTCCTAGAACCACCTCTGTATTCTTCAAACATTTGTAAACCCAACTGTATGGTTCTTTGGCAGCAGAAGAATGTGCTTTTGATTTTAGTTTGGGAAAGAAAGATTATTTCACTTCCCAGATTTGACACTTCCACGTATCAAATCAATTAACAGTTTACTGATTTGTTCTAGAAAATAAAATTACACAAATGATTACACATGTGAAACCATCTTCTCTTAGTGCTTCTGCTATTTCTGGGTATCTGGGTCAAAAAAAGCATTTTATAAAACTTGTTCAGTTTAGAAAGAAATTCTTCAGATGATTTCTGTGTGGTTTTCACATGGACTCTCAAGAAGGTCTTCTCATCTGCCTCTATTATTTTACTGCTTTATTTGTGGATTCCCATTTGTTTTCTGTAGTTCAAAAGCTAAGGTATAGGAAAGGGGAAAATTATAACTGCAGGCAGGGAAAAGGTGGTCCACTCTTAAGAAATCCTGATCTTATAAACACAGAACTTCTGGAAGTCCTAAAAGAAATGGGGAATGGTTTCCCAAAAATACCATAAAACCAGAGGCTTTTACCACATTGCCTTTGCTGTGCCTCAGAGGATTACATGCTTGCTAACCAAAGTACTTGAAAAGCCTGAGACAACATAGGAAGGTATTGGTGGGGACCTGAGAATCAGAACAACATCAGATTATTTTTGGTGGGGGTTTTATTACTTTCTCTCTTAGGGTGTGTTTCTGGATGATAATAAGGTGGCTTGGTTTTTTCCTCCTCACAAATCTTTTTATAGTCTTCTGGCAAAACTTAACAGATAAAAGACTCACCATTGTGAGTCACTGGAGACGGAAGAGCATCCATCCAGTGGTGTAAACAGTAGCAGGGACTACAGAGAAGCATTGTGCAAAGCTGGGGGTAAAATGGCAGAATAGAGAAGAAAATGAGGGAAATTGAGATAGTGCCACTTCTTTTCAAATACACTTTGAAATGCATAGGTAGTCTGTAAAAGGTATCCATTCTTGTTATTGCTTTGTTATTATTGTGGCTTGAAAAACAAATTGATATCATTCTCTTCATATATAAATCTCAGTTATATTAATGCTTAGAATTTGCATCATGTGTTTTATCATTAGATCAAAAAGTTGGGTGAACTTCCATGCAGCTGGGATAAGAGGCCCAGAAAATCAAGTTACCCATGGCATTATAATGAGCTAGTGGCAGGACTTTGGCTAATATGAATATTCCCTATTTCATATCCTGAATAGTAACTGGAATGAAAATTCGAATTGTGTATTATGGCTGAGGCAGAATGGCAATGAAGCTCACCTTTTGGGGGAACTGGTGTCAATTTAAGTAATTACTTAAATAGGTTGTTGTTGTTGTTAATGTAAAATATCATAGGCATGCATCCATACCAAAGTGCCACATCTTACACTCACTTTTCTGCTTGTACTGAAGAATAGTGACTTGTGTAAAAACATGGGGCCTATATATCTATAAGAAGCAACAGGCACAAATGCTAGTACTGTTGCATAATACACAGAGCAAACCCCTGGTGCAGCTGCAGAGTGTAATTTCATGTTGGCTACTCATTTTGAGGAGCACTTTGATTCATTACCCAATGGGAAGAAAATGGGAAGAAAACTCTTTAATTTCTGATCTCTAGGAATGTATGCTCATTTTGGAAAACACCTTATTACCACTGCAGCTATCTCCACCAGAAAGAGCTGGGATTGAAATAGCACAGTAGGATGTAGGCTTCTGGGAAGTGTCTTGGCAAGGCCTGAGATTAGGAAAATAGTGGTCAAAGGTGCCATGTCCTGACAGAGGATGGGGACGGATTCCACAATACAAGTTAAAAGAAATCTTTTTCCATATGCTGACGTACATCTCTAAATCACCGCTTCTCTGAATGATTCTT